TGATAAGACGAAACCAAAGAACACAAATTGGTAGCATAGATTTCCTAAACAGTAGCAGCTTTGGAAATTGTTGCATGAAATGTCATTGATCTTTAAAACATAACTATAGTGACAGCAACATAAATGAGACCCCAGAAAAAGAAACAAAAAAGGAGAAATCTAAAAGCCACAAAAGAAAAAACAAAGAAAACACTGATTGGGTTATTTCATAAATATAGAGGAGAAATGAAGATGGTGTACCTGATTATCAGAGTCACTGAAGCAAATGGCACTGCAGGGTTTCCAAGAAGGGGGCACACTCCATAGTTTTCTTTCATATTATGGCATTATTGATGTGAAGAGACAGTACAAGGGGGAAAAAAATTGGGGGGGGGGACTGACCAGCCAACAACCTTTGCAACTGAACATCTTTGACAAGAAATCCTTATTAAATCAAAACCAACATAAAGATGCAGAAACATTCTTTTAAAAGGAATAATTTGTTGCTCACGATGCTAAATATTCTGGCTTGCATCATTATCATTCTTTATTAAACCAGAAAGAAGAAAGAAAAACTAGCACAATGATAAACTCGGAAAGCAATGTACTTGGAACAAAGAGAAAAAAACTTTACGAACAAGCACATACTTTGCTAATGTTTCCAAGATATCTGGATGTCTAGGATTGCATCAGGCAGAGTCAACTATATCCACATTGGAAACCTCATCTATAACAAATTAGAAAGTAAAATTTAAAAGAGATTCCCTAATGATAGCAAGATTCTAAGTTATCTATAACAAATTAGAAAATCCTCTTGAGATGGCTCTCAATGAGAGCACCAATTTGTGGGATGTGAATTCCACAAACATTTTGAGATGCCTCATTTAAAAGAATGCAACTGAGTCCTTTGCACACCAACCTTCTCAACCATTCCTATTGATCTTAAAATGTGAATCTAAGCCAATAGCTCCTTTGTATCTCCACGTGATGATCTTCACAGCATTATAAAAGTACTAATTTATCAACCCATGGCTACCAAGAAATGTAACTTATCATCACCTCCCATGTACATGCTCAAAGATCTCATCGTCTTTGAGCGGCATATATAGATCCCTCTAAGCCAAGTAGGAAGTATTTGAAACAAAAAATAAAACAAAAATGGATTATAGCATCCAAGACATCACTATAGAAGCTATTACAAATATATCACTGCACAAACCTTTTTATAGCACTTTTAGAAATGATTGTGATACATTATGTTATTGAAATTAGCAGTTTCTTAAGAACAATGCTAGCTAAGCCTAAAGAAAAGATAACGAATCATTAACTGTATGGATGGTCACAAGAAAACCAATTAGAACAATCAATAATAGAATTTTCCAACTCCATTTTCCTTTTCAATTTAACAAAAACAAATATTATCTGTAATATAAAATCTTTAGCAATTTTACCTGAAATAGCCATGATATAACCCTTATTGAAGAGATGATGAAGGCAACACAACTCTAACAGCAATGCAAACCGCAAACTGTAGCAGCCACCAAGCCAAAAGAAATTGAAAGAAAAACTATTATAAGGAGCAATCCCAAGCTTCTGTACTAGCTCAAACGTAATATAATATGATACTAGCTCAAACAGAACTGTCGCGCTTAACATAAACAACAATAAATATGTATATGTTAGAATGTGTAGTGTTAGTACAGCTGTGTTTGTACAGCTGTGTTAGTGAGTGTTAGTATAGCTGTTTGTACAGCTATGTTAGTGCTAGTTCAGCTGCTATCTTTACAGCTGTGTTAGTGTTAGTACAGCTGCATCTCTACCCTTGTATAGCTATAAATACCTTCCATTAGAGATAAATAAGAAGGATCAGAAATTTTCTGCATCTTATTTTCCACTTGGTATCAGAGCATACTAATTTGCTCTCTTACTTTCTTATTCCTTCCTATTTCTGTGTTACCACAGATCTCTATCATTTTCACCAAGGGTATACTAACCTTGGTGTTCTCTCTATCATTTCTTACTGAAATCTCTGAGTATGCTCTGTAGTTGCAGCTAGACTGAACTTCTACATTAGAAATTTCCTTTCATTTCTCTCTACCATAAACACAAATTTCCGCTGCTATTATGGGTGAAAAAACCGAAAATTCAGATTCTCCTGGTGCTGAAACATCTGCCCCAGTGATGAATTTTCACCAAGATACACCTTCCTCAATTGGGGTAAAGCTCAATGGCACCAATTACCGTCTTTGGTCCAAAGTTCTTGAGATGCATATTTCTGCCCGTGAAAAATATGGTTACATCTCTGGGACTAGGATTGCACCAAAGGATTCAGATCCTAAATTTGAGAAGTGGATGGCCAAAAATGCACTAGTGAAGTCATGGCTCATCAATTCTATGGCCCCTGCCCTCATGATGAATTTTATTCATTGTGAGACCGCTAAAGATGTTTGGGATACCGTCAAGAAAACATATCATGATGCTTCTGATGCTTCCCAAGTCTACGAGTTGATGAAGAAATCCTTCCAGATGCGTCAAGATGGCCGACCATTGACCATCTATTTCACGGACCTCAATTCCACCTTTATGGAGCTTGACTTCCGTCGTCCAAATGACTTGGAGAATCCATTGGACTTTGCAAAATTGAAGAAACGTATCTCTGAAGAACGTGTCTATACATTTCTTGCTGGACTTTATCATAATCTTGATCAAGTATGTGGACGTATTCTGGCCACATCACCTCTCCCTGATATTGATGAAGCTTATTCTATGGTTCGTAGAGAAACACAGCTGTACTAACACTACACATTCTAACAGTATATATATATAACCTCTCTTCTTCATCAACCCAAGTTCTCAGTGAAAATCATACTAGTATGAAATTTGGATAAGTGCAGGGAATAGCAAACTGAAAACTCTACAAGGCACAAAGGAGTCTGTATTAACAAACACAAATTTTATTTACCTAGATTTCCTAAACAAGGCATGAACACCTGACAAGATGAAACCAACAAACACAAATTGGTAGCATAGATGTCCTAAACAGTAGCAGCTCAGTAAATTGTTGCATGAAATGTCATTCATCTTTAAAGCATAAATTTTGAGGTGAAACGTAGATGGGGTACCTGATTATCAGGGTTACTGAAGCAAATGCCAATGCTGGGATTAGATGAGGGGCACACACTCCATGGCAACAACCTTTGCAACTGAACAGCTTATACAAGAAATTATTTTATTTGTACAAATGCGAAAAACTAATTCATCATTTCATTCCTTTAATAAATTAAAACAAACTTAAAGATGCAGAAACCTGATTAGCAGGAGTTTGGAATTGCTCTATGGTTTATGTTCATAGGGAAAGAAAGGCTGCTGCTGATGCACCTGCGAAGATGGGGGATTGTCTCCAAGTTCTTGGTAAGCTTCCGTGTAATTTGATTTCAGTTTTATTGCAAACTTACATACATTTGTCCCTCGTCCCCAAACCATTCGCTCTCAGTTGCATCAGCCATCAAATAGCAATCACAAAAAAACTGGCACAAAAAAAAACGAAATAAACAATACAAAGAGTAGAGAGAAAGAGCACAGTGGTCCACTTCATCTGACATGCACAATGTATGATATGATATGTATAATGTATATGGCCAATGAACATGGATAGTATACAGAACATACACACTTTATCTTCTGTTGTATCATGGAAAAAGTTCCAAGAAGTAAAACATTTTAGAGAAACGATATCGACATTGGAAACCTCATCTATAACAAATTATATCCTGGAAAATACACACATTTTATCTTATATGCATCATAACAGTTCATACTTTGCTAATGTTTCCAAGATATCTGGATGTGTAGGATTCCATCAGGCAGATACAACTATATCCACATTGGAAACCTCATCTATGACAAATTAGAAAGTAAAACTTAAAGAGATTCCCTAATAACAAGATTCTAAGTCATCTATCTTGTCGAGCAGTGGGTTATATTCCAAATCTGGCATCTCAACAATAAAAAATCAGAATTACTAAAGTATATATTCAACTACCATATACAACAAATAACAGAGGCAAGATGGCTTGTAACCTATGCATCATTTTCCTTGTAAACTCTAACCTGTACTTCATGAGCGGATCTCACCTTCCTCCCAATCGCCTTCCTGCCAGCAGATCTCGCCTTCCTCCCGATCTCCATTCAGAAAAGCCTCCTCGTCCTGACCCTGTAACTCGTCATCTTCTTTGAGGTACAAACCCAAATGCTTAAGGGGCAATCCAAGGTAGACCCTTTCACTGCCACAGCCACAGAGAATCTCAAGTTGTTTGAGATCCTTTAAGGGGTCCTCAAATTGGACTGCCTTCTCCATGTTCAAAACGGCACGACGAGCCGATTCCCTTTGATCCATCCGATGCATCAATTTTCTCCTTGGTGGAGAATCAGGTAGACCCTTAAGTATCTTGTTTGCTTTCTGTATTGTACCTGAAAATCGCATCTTGAGCAACTGAATTCGCCTAGCCTTACATGGAGAAAAATTGTCTGTGGCCTGATACATGGCATGATGAACAAGGGTGCCCAAGTCATCATCTTTGGTTGACTTAACTGAGTGAGAATCAGAAACCCTAACAACCCCTTGATTTTGTATAAGAACCCTACAAGCAGAAGAGCTCTTGCCATTTGGTTTCCGTTTGGGCAGAGGAGGAGTAGGAGGAGGACAAGCGGTCTTTGACATTTTCTCCTCAGCTTCTTTCCATTGGGTCTCAAAAACCCCACTAAGATGCTTGGCTGCTGCAAGATTTCTACTCCCAAGGGAGAAATATCTGAAAGCGTTTGAGAAGATAAGCCTGACATCAGCAGCAAAGCCATCAGCGCTGGAGTAGACACCCCTCTCCAATTTCGATTTCACAGTACCCAAATCCATCGGCCTCCAAATTTCTTCGAAATAACCCGGCAAATTCTCAGCCACAGGATCAACAACAGGCTTGTTGAAGTAGCTCGCATGGCCGAGTTTCATCAGAGAATCCAAGACTTTAGAACAATCCAACGTCTCTTTTGAAGCAGACGAAGCCAAACCTTTGACTTTGAGCAGAGGAAGACCAACAGTCGGCTTTTCCTTCCGTTGGGTCTCAGAAACCCTAGAAGACCTCTTCCTCTTCTGGGTTTGACAGATTTCATCAAAACCCTCTTCTGTTTCTGGGTTGGCATTTTTTGTAGCAGACGAAGCCAAACCCTTGCACAGAGGAAGACCAACAGTCGACTTTTCCTCAACGGCTACATTCCGTTGGGTCTCAGAAACTCTAGAAGACCTCTTCCTCTTCTGGGTCTGACAGATTTCATCGAAACCCAGCTCTTCTGATTCTGGGTCGGCATTTTTTGTAACAGACGAAGCCAAACCCTTGTGCATAGGAAGACCAACAGTCGACTTTTCCACAACGGCTACATTCCGTTGGGTCTCAGAAACCCTAGAAGACCTTACCCTCTTCTGGGTCTGAAACTGAAACTCAAAGGAACCAAAACCATCCTCCAATTGTCTGCGCTTTCTAGCAGACGACGCCATTCTTGATTTCAGAACCCAAAATTTCACACAGTCGTTACAGAGAAAGAACTCAGAAAATCACTCGCTAAATCGTTACAGAGAAAATCACTCGCTCAATCGTTGCAGAGAAAATCGCTCGCTCGCTTTGGCTTGGCTTACTTGTGCAGAGAAACACAGAGAGAGAGAGAGAGAGAGAGAAGAAAAGAGGAGGGAATGTACTGTTATGGCGCTATAACGGTCCTCATTTTGGATTTCAAAATGTAAAATGAAAGGTCGGTGTGATAACTCGGTGACTCAGTTGCTGAGTTGTTGCGCGTAAAAAAGTAAAAGGTAAAATAAACGTGGAAACACCAAGACAAACAACCATGTCCAGCTGTTTTAATTAAATGCATATCATTAAACCCATTTAAACCAACTGCACACAAAATTTAAAAAGATAGTTTGATTTAACTTATCTATAATTGAAATAATTTTCAGATGTATATAAATGAATAAATATATTTTACCCATCATGCAAAATTTTAAGAAATTTTTTTTCCTTTCCTATTGCCAAATATTTTACCCATGTTAAACAAATACCTACGGTCTAGTTCGATTTTTACACAAAAAAATAACTGAACCAGATCAGTCACTAAATGGAATGGTTTTATTCAATGATATAATTAGGTTAACATCTAAAGCAAATTAATTCTAATCACGTCCAGTCTAGTATAAAATTGTGATGTTTTTTTCAATAACATGATTTTTTTTTTAAATCAATAATGAGGGGAGATTCGAACTTCATCTAAACATTGGAATATTATTAATAATTTACTCAGGGTTGTTAATTATTAAGAACTAAAGTATATGTCTAAACTAAACATATATCCAATATTTGAATAAAAAAAAGACATATATGAAATATTTACTATTTTTCAGCACATTTCTAAGGTTGGTAAATTAACTTCTCAAAATAAATATAAAACCAAGGAATCCTAGCGATGTATGTATGTTTTTATCTCTTGGTTTTATATTATCAATAAAAATGAAAATGATTGTATAGCAGGAACACCTAAAACTACAAAACCTAGGAGCTCTCTCATCCAATAAAGATTCAGATTATGCTGGATAATGTACAAGAAACAAAATTCATCAAGCCAATTACACACAACTACATATGCAAAGTGAGATTTTCTTGCACTTGCGAGAGGAAACCACCACATAATTCACCAATCATTCGAAGCTTAATGCATCATATACTCGTAGGTAGGTTTCCTTGAGAAGAAAGTTGATCAGCAAAATGGACTCCAATCTAGATATGCATGTGTCATGGGTAAATAAACTCCAAACATATACATACGCCGGTCATCTTCAAGCTAACTCCTGTTCAACTACATGTTAGCGTGCCCTACTTCTTACATTCCTTTTGACTGTGAGAAGACGCAAAACTCAAGAACCTGCATCTTGTGGAGCAAGACTAACTTGATTGATCATTTGTGGATCTGAATTAACTGTATCTTCTGCCGCTTGAGCAGAATTTTCTTTATCTGCTGCTAACTCGGAGGAGTCCTTTTCATCAATTGAAGCAGGAACAGACTTCTTTTGATCTGTTGCAGCAGGGACAGAGTCCTTTTGATTTGTCCCGGATGGAGCAGCTTCCATTTGATCAGCTGCTGGTGGACATGCTATTGGTGAAGTTTGAGACCTTTTCTCTAGATTTGTTTCAGCGCTTTCATATTCGGAAATGAGATCCATGAATTCATTAAGCAATCGCTGTACTTTTCTATTTGAAGCCATTGCTGGAAGAATATCTTCTCGTAAGAGTTTATGTTTCCTCATTCCCTGCAAAAGCAAAAACACAAGGGGTAAATATAAATAACACATATAAACCTTCTCAAGGCTAAAAAAAGATTAAAAATTAGTAACAATTAGGTAGCAAAGATTATGACAATAGTTTGTGCCGGGGTATATTGCAACAAGTCTGATACTTAAGATTGTACCATACACCATTGCAACTTCACCCTGCAATCAACCAAATTGCAGGTGAAACTACGGTAGATTTACAAATTTATCACAGGTACTGCTTAACCCTCAACAAGCAACCAGAATGAGTAAGAAAATAAAAGAAATTTGAACTGACTCTACACAAGAGGAGTATCTATTAGGGTCATATCTCAAAAAGAAAATTGCAAAAGAAAAAAGAGAAAATTAGGGGGCAAATGGATTGAAATTTTTTTGGATTCAAATCCCATTAGCAAAAGACACCTAAAGAATTGTATACAAAGCCTTACAAGCACATAAGGATCCCATGCCAGGTTCTTTGGAT